TGATTATCTGACAAGCATTTGCTTATAGGATAGTCAACTAGTCTTTAACATCCTTAATCTGTGCCAGGTGCACCAGGTGTGGAGCAGGCAGGCTGAGGCAGGCAGGATCCAAGTGAGAAGAGATTCAGTGTTGGAAATCCAGGTGAGGGATGAGAGTGTTCTGTGTGGGACAATCTGGGTGCAGACAGCTCAGTGGGGTTCTAGGTGTGTGGGGGATCTGGATGTACAAAAGCTCGTTGTGCAGGTTCCAGGTGCAGGGGCATTGAGACTCTGCAGGGGCTTCCATGTGAAGGTGGGTGGGGCTCAGTGGAGAGGTCAGGGTTTGGAGGTCTCAGTGGAGGGTCTGGGTGCTGGGGGAGTGAGGCGTGGTCGGGTGGGAATCTGGGTGCAGCTAGTTGGGAGTCAGTGGCATAGGGATCTGAATGTGGGGGCTCAGGGAATGGGGCTCAGAGTGGGGGTCTGAGTGCAGGGAGTTTGGTGAGGGGCAGTGTTCCCTGTAAGCTGAGCACCTGGGCACCCACCCCAGAGAGATTCAAATGCCACCCAGCTGATTAGCAGGGTACCCACCTTCAGGGAGCAGCATGTTTTTCTACTGGTGATGCACATCCACACATGCCTTAGTGCACATGAAATTTACTCTTAACATGGATGGAAAAGAGAACATTGGTGGGTGGTGGTTTGTGTGTAGGCATGGGGGTCCAGAGGCAGAGGGTCTGGGTTAATTGGGGCTCTAGATGCAGGGGTTGAGGTTCAGTGGGATGGGGTTCAGGAATGGAGGCTAGGGGGTTTCTGGGTATACTGGGTGACGCTTGGCAGGGATGTCTGTATAGGAGGTCACAATGCATGGGCATAGGTAGATAGGGGAACAACTCTCCATACAGTGGTCCCTCTCCCCACAGTTGAGGAGCAGTGGGGACAGGAAGCAGGGGAGGATGCTGTACTTCATACAATTGGTGGAAGGTTTGGGGTGGTTCTGATGCAGCTCTAGCTACTCATTGCAGGGGAAGCGAAAGTCCTTTCCTCTCCCCCTCCAACCCATCTAGGACTAGCGGCTGATCCCAGCTCCCCATAGGAGGCACTGGCTGGGGTGTCCCCAGTCCAGTGGTGATTTATTCCTGTGCTTGCTGCTCTGGATGCCCGAAATGATGTATCTGTACTGCTAGGGAGTGATGCATGACTGCTCTTGCAGCTCCCCTTTGCTTCCCTGTCAGAAAATCATTTTTCTGTGTGAAAGAAAAGAAATTGGCAGGGAACATGAATTCTGCCCATGCATGCTGGCACCAAATCCTCCCAGGAATACTCTGTGTTCTACAAAGGATGAGGATCATCAACTGCTTAAGGAAGGGATTTCAAAGTAAGGAAACTATGGAATCATTGCTTTTCCTCTTCTGTGGATTTCTACCCCTTTGCATCCAGTTTCCCATTGCTTCTGGGCACTAGTAGCATCTCAGCCACAGTAACTGGAAATTATTTCCCACTAGCTCTCCATTTCATTCCATTACCTAACATCTTACACTGTATCTTTACGACAACAGTCCAGTTGCCCTGCTTGCTTCCTGCTCTTGGTTCATATGCAAGTTGAAGATCTATACAGACAGAGTGCACCAGGTAGAAATAGCACGGAATGTCTTTGTACTAAAGAGAGTGAACATCTGTAAAAGCTGCTGAAACAAGGAGAAGGCAGCCCCATGTGACTACCTATTTCTCTGCCAGTCACCAGTAAATGCTGCCAGTGGTTATTGAACCACAACTTTGGATCATGGGGTGTGACATTCCACAGGATACAATCTTTATTGTTGAATGTTCCCTCAATTCTCCACCCTAGGGTACCTTTTACACTGCTTTGCTGTGCAAGCAATCACACCTGATCAGCTCAAACACACTCTGCTTCCAGCAGGTCAAATGATTTCAAAGCAAAGGTGTCTCTCACCACATGCTCCAGCAGTCTTACTGGCTGTGCTTCTTGTAGCCAGGATCCCTCCACCAATTCACTGTTAATTTCCTTGTGGTTTTGATGCTGTGAACAGAGAGAAATTTTCTTCTTCCTTGATAGTCATCTCCAGCTGGGATTCAGGAGACAAGTCAGTGTGTGAGGATGGAAAGTGCCAACTTTTCAGTGCCAAAATGCAGATTCCTTACTCAGACCTTTTTTCCTGCCAACAAATGGCCATTTAACAAGGTGATAATCCATTTGATTTTGTTGACTGGCTGTGGTGTCAGTTTGCCTTTTGTCAGTAAGGAAGTGGTCTCTCACTGCTTTTCTAAACTCGGAACACGTCTCAATGTTATACAGTCGTATTTTATAACTTTACATACAGTGTGGCCACATATATTTTTCCGGGACAATAATGATCTGCACATGGTGAGTTTTCAAGTAACACCTCACAAGGCAAAATGCAGGACAATGTAGCACTTTAAAGACTAACAAGATGGTTTAGTAGATGATGAGCTTTCGTGGGCCAGACCCACTTCCTCAGATCAAATATTCCACCTCACAAGGCACACTTTGAACATAGAGATACAGACTGTGACATGGGAAGCAGAAGTAACCTAAGGTTATGTCTAGACTACATGCCTCTGTCGGCAGAGGCATGTAAAATAGGCTACCCGACATAGTCAATGAAGCTGGAATTTAAATATCCCCGGCTTCATTAAAATAAAAATGGCCGTCGTGCTGTGCCAGCTCAGCTGATTGTCGGCACAGCGCGCCAGTCAAGACATGGATCAGTTGAAAGGGGAAGCCTTTATCGAACACTCCTGTAAACCTCGTTTCACGAGGCATAAGGGAGCGGTCGACAAAGGTTTCCCCTGTCGACCGATCCATGTCTTGACTGGCGCACTGTGCCGACGATCAGCTGAGCTGGCACAGCGCAGTGGCCATTTTATTTTAATGAAGCCAGGGATCTTTCAATCCCAGCTTCATTGACTATGTCGGGTAGCCTATTTTACATGCCTCTGCCGACAGAGGCATGTAGTCTAGACATACCCTAAGAAAACAATTGTGACTGATCATTAGTTTCTTTTGTAGTAGTGACCCTAATCTGTGACTAGGGTCTCATTGTATGAAACAAATTACACAAAGACAGGTCCACTCAACAAAGCTCTCATTTAGATTTAGACAACACTCGGGGACGGTGCCCCCTGCTTGCTACACTTGCCAACCCCGGCTCTCTCTGGGGGTAGGTGTCCGAGGAGAAGGGTGCAGGAGTGGGCTAGGTGTAGGTTTTTGGCCAGGGGAGAGGGTGCACGAGGAAGCTGGTGGTGCAAGGTCTTGGCAGTGGGTGAGTGAGGTATATGGTCAGCTATGAATCCTTCGGTCCTTTCCATTTAGGTTGTTTTTCATATACGTTAAGACCTGTAACATTTGATACAATGATGTTGGACCCCAAATTTTTCCTTGAATAAGCCACAGAATTCTGAATTTGGAATGTATTACTGCCTTTTCCTAGGGAAAAATTGTATGGATTACACTACTGTTGTTTTGAATTATAATACATTGCTTAAAAATGAGCTATATGCAGTTTGGTTTGAATTACTGAATTCTTGTGACTTATTACTTGTATTCATTACAAGCTCTGGCCTTTAGTTTTCCAAGCAAAGTTAAATAACACCACTTTTATCCTCCCTTCCCCCTTTCTTTCAGGAAGCAGACTCATTACAGATATTTTTTAGTTTTGTCATGGAGTCATAGACCCCTCTACACAAGGCAGATTGTGTGTGTCAGGGAATTGTGTTCTAGCACCCCAAACATGATAGCACAGATTGCCTTGGATAGGTAGGCAGGGAGAAAGCATGTGGGAATTATGTCTCAGAATTGTGTTTCAGACTTGTAAAGATTAGGGCTCAGTTCATTCAAATCAATGGAGTGATATCAAGGATAAACTTGCTTTTAGGATTGAAACCCAACCCTAAAACATGCGTATAACATGAGTTTGGTACTAGGGCTGCATTTAGAGAGTGGACACGTAGCAAGGTTGGTTTGCAAACTGATGCAATCATTGGAGACTCAATGGCAGACTTATGGTTGTTAATTTCTTGCTGAAAAGGGTTGAACTTCTGACTAATTTCCTGAATTATACTGTAATTTAATCAGTTGTCTTGATGGTTGCTGAACTATGTTTATCTTATACTATACGAACTCAAGAATAATCCAGATGCTAGTTATGAGATGTGGCTTCCATGAAAGCTCCAGAAGCTACATCTTATATTGGAATCATTCCAAAGGAAAAATGAAAGACGATGGAAGGCTTATGCTATACTGAATGGGTTGCATTAGAGATGCTGATGATTCACAGTTGCTTAATTGAAACATGGAAGTTTTCAACCTTAGTGACAAGGGGAAACAGGCATATGACATTGTGCTTTTCCTTTTTAAAAGCCATTTTTAACTTTCATGACAAGATCTTACTTGATTGGAGCAGGAATATGTCACTGCATACTTGATTTGGAAGAACTTACTGCCAAACTCAGTAAGGAAGCAGCCATCAGGGGATTGACAATAGGGGACTTACATAGTAGAATAGAATTTTGGAGGAATTAATTCTGCTTAAAAAATGAATTTGTCATCCATGTTACCCCTGAAACAAATTTTACCCTTCTTTCATGCTCTTTATGGATGCCTTTTCCTTGTTTTGAAGCAACATTAAGTTATTTATCTTTTTCCTGGCCTTTCACATGAGGATTTACCAAACCAGGCATGTCTTATAGGTGTACATTTTATAATCCAATAACTTTATACTGCAGAGCTGAAAAATGCAATGGAACAAACTAGTATTCTAATGTTTGCAGCATTATTGCAGCCATGTTGGTCCCATGATAGTACAGTTTGGACCTCCATGGTCCGGCACCCTTGGGACCTGGCTGGTCTTGAACAAGGGAATTTGTCGGATCACAGGAAGTCCCCTGTCACTGACCTCTCAGGCACCCACTGACTCTGCTTCTGGCCCCAACCAGCCCCCACTCCCTTCAGTTGGCTGTGCTGCTGGCCCTGGCTGGACCCCTAAGCCCTAGGACTCCCAGCTACGCCACCTGAGTGCCCTGCTGCAGGGCTTGTAGCCGCCCCACGGAGCTCCCTGCACTGCCTAAACCCCTGCTGCACACCTGGCTGCACACCAGACCTTCCTGTGCCACTTGAGCCCCCGGCGCTGCAGGACCCCCTACACTGCCTGAGCCCCTCCCATGAGACTCGGGGATGCACCACTGGAGCTCTCTGCACTGGCGGACCTCCTGCTGTGGGACTCTATTGGCCTCCAGAGCTCCGTGCCCCAGAGCTTCTGCCACATCGCAGGATTCTCCACGCTGCCTGAGTCCTCTGGCGCTGTGCTCCTCATATTGCTTGAACCCCCTGCTCACCACTGGCCTCCCTGCCCCTGAGCTCTCTGGTCCAGGAACATCCATGGTCCTGCTGGACCATGAATATTGCCAGACCATAAAGTCTCGGTTTAGGGAGGTACAACCTGCAGAGAGAAAACCATCTTTTGGTGAAAGAGACCAGCTTTTCAAGTTACACACAGGTCACCAACCAGAGCAATTGGTCTAATAAAAGATATGATCTCCCTCACCTTATCTCTCAGTATTCTAATGATCACTTGCCATTAACTAATTTTCATCTGCTCTTCTACAATAGATCTTAGATGCCCTCCTCCCTGCATGCCAGGGACCTATTTTCTACTACTTATACCAAGGGCTCTGTTTGTCCCTTTCCCAACTCTCTTCACTGTGGGGTCCCATGTCATGCCAAAGGCGTTGTTCCTTTCACTTCTCTCCCCCATCCCCAGTTCCCCACACCATGCCAAAGAAGATGGGCATTCCTCCTCCCTCTCTCCGCCAAGTACTCTTCTTCCCAAATTGGAAAGGATAGATAGCTAGTAAGGTACTCTCCCTTCCCCAACTACAGCAGGCTGTAAGGAAGCAGGACCTTAGGAAGGAAGAAAGAATACAGTAATTCCTCATTGAACATTATAGATGCATTTCTGAAAATGTTCATGCTAAACGAAAATGTGCTATGCGAGGTCAATTTTCCCATTAAAAATAACGGAAAAGGTGGGGCTGGGGTTCAGGTGGTGGTGGCAAAGTCAATGTTTTGTTGGTGCTGGGTCATCAATGTCAACATTAGATATCTAGCAACACAAATTGCTGCAGTTTGTTAAAATACAAACACGTGAGTGAACGGAGGAGCGCTGTGACCACATGTAGTCATCTACTCATGCATATTACTAATGTTTTCACCAACTTATACCACCACGCGAAGTAGTCCGCCACTTGATTATTTTCGTGTTATTTCAGGGACGGTCGTGTTGCTCAAAAAACGTTTCCTAAAAATAATCATGCTATTGCAAAAACGAGTTAAACGGGCATGTGTTAAACGAGTAATTACTGTACACAAAGCTTTTCTCTCTCCCCTCTCCCTCCCTGTTCCTGCTAGTGAGTAACTGCCCCAAGGCTCCCAGCAGGGAAAGCAATTATTTTTCTTGGGTCATTCGGAGTGCCTGTTGCAGTCTACTGGGTGGATGAGCAGTGGGAAAGGGGAGGGAGAAGGGGAGGATTGTTATGAGGTGTGAATGATTGCCATCAACAGATAATACTGGCTCTGCCTGTCACCTGTTTTACCTCTTTCAGTGTTTTAATTGCTTCAGAGGGGTAGCCTGGTTAGTCTGTAACAGGAAAAACTTAAAAAACAAGTAGACTAGTAGCACCTAGTGGGTTGCGCCCATGAAATCTCGTGATACAATTTACGTGTTTTGTTAGTGTTTTAATTATCACCCAAAATAAATAGGGTTCTGACTATTGGTGCCTAGAACATTTCCTGACATTTGGAACTGATCACTTGGTGTTTCTACTTTCTGTGATTCTATGAAGTTATGTGCTGCAAGCCTATTACTGAAAGAGTTGCAGATTATTTCACCAGTGCAAGTAAACTTTGGTTCCTTTCTATTGAACTTTTTAATCTTCTTAAAAGATCTAAAATAGACTTGAGCCAAAAGTGTTATATTAGTATACTGATATTTTGTTCTTGTCCACTAGGATCTGGAATAAGACCATTGGTTCCACAGAGGCCATTGAGTCTGATTCTGTTTCATTTGGGAAAATATGTCTCTGCATTCATGACAGCTGAAAGCAATCTTAGCAATAGGAAGAGTCAGACTGTGCTTAAATCCTGCAGCATGGGCAGAATAACAGGAAAATCCTGTTTTGAAGGATGAATAAGTAAATATTCTATCCTGAAAAACAAGGGAAGGGACAGCACAGAGAATGGGCCAAATTCTGCCTTGAGTTACACTTGTGCCTTTAATAGGGTTACCCAGGTGTAAATAACATCAGAATTTGGACCAGCATGGGTCTTGACAGAGTAAACCCAATAAGGAATCAGGTTTCTTAGAAGCTCTCACACAACTGAGATAATAATCAGTTTGCTTAATGGCTACATAGACTCAGGCCTCAACAAAAATAACTGTGTTTCAACGGTGTCATGACCCATGGTTATGGCCCAATCTTAGTTTTTTCTTGTCTGTATGGATAGA